CTTCCGATCTTTCAAATAACAAAACACAACTTTTTAACTCAATCTGCACCCAACAACTTAACCATTTTCAAAGAAAACAATGCATGAAGCTTCTCTAACCTGAAGATTGGCTCAGCGTTGCCAAGAGCTGAGAAAAAGTGGAATTTCCTTCCGAAGCTGAACCCGGGAACCTCCATCTTCCAAAAGCAAGCTTCTTGGCCCAGAGTCATTCTCTCTAAAAATTATCTCTAAGTTTCCCTTTTCTCCCCCTCCTCAACGCCTATTTATAGAGGTCAGGAGTGAGCAGAACGACCCGTTTCGATTTTTTTTTTTTTTTTTTTTTTTTTAACAATGTTACAAGTATCATATATAAGATAGAGAGTGTCACACATAATTTTCATTTTATGAGCTTTTCTATCCTGCATATGTGCAACTTTGCACTCTCCACCTAATCAATTAAGAAGTCTTAAAATAATACAAAATTTTTCACTCATTTCTAATACAGTTAATCAAAATTAATGAATTGAAATGCAAAGATAACTTTAAAGATACTAAAAGTACATTATAAATGTCATATACTTTTTTTAATAAGTATGATTATTAAAAATAAAAATAAAAAATGTAAATGTAATAAAATTATTGTTCTCAATATATTGAGAATTAAAAATAAGTTATCAAATCAAATTATATACACTTATCTTATTTATATAAAAAAATAAATTATTAGTTAATTAAATTGTTTGTGAAAATAATTTAATTACCTTAAATTAAAATGTCTTTTTGCTATCTTAATTATCCTAATTAATATTTCTTATTTTGTTAAACTAACCAAAATTAGTGATAAAGATTAAAATTGAATAATTGAATAGTTAGAAAATGTCAAGGATCTTAAAATGACAATTTTTTTTTGCAAGAACTAAAACAAGACAAAACAATATTTGCACGAATTTAAAACTTATTTGAACCTTTAATTTTTGTATAGATTCAAAATGAGAAAAATATTTGAATGAAAAAGTAAAGATAAAAATTAAAAGAGTTGTTAATATGTTGAAAGGATTTAATACAATATTAAAAAATAAATGATATTAAATCACATGTTAATTAAATACATGTATCTATATTCTGTATGAATAGTCTAAAATAAATGAGTGAGAAATTATGTACTATTTCAAAGGCTCTTAATTGATTAGAGGGAATAAATAGGTATTGAATGCTTGTTAACCTTTGGAAAGTAACATAAGATAGAATAATCCTTAAACAATTAGTTTGTAGTTGTTCATGGATTTACAATGAAGAGAAATGTATTTACTTTTAAAAAGATTATTAGTTCCTAAGAATATAGAATTGAGTTTAACTCAATCCTATGCAATTAACTTATAAAGTAAGAATTATATATATATATATATATATATATATATATATATATATATATATATATATATATATATATATATATATATATATATATATATATATATATATATATATATATATATATATATATATATATATATATATATATATATATATATATATATATATATATATATATATATATATATATATATATATATATATATATATATATATATATATATATATATATATATATATATATATATATATATATATATATATATATATATATATATATATATTATATCACTTGTTAATATGGAATCTCGAACACATCGTCTTATGTTAAAAACATAACATATTAAGTGAGTGTGAAGTCTACAAGAGTGAACATATGTGATAATCTGATAGTGGATGATAAGATAAACTTAATAACAAAACTTTGATACCATTTTAAAAATGTAAATTACGCTTGTTATATATTTTATTTTTAGTCATATCTTTAACTAATGTGAAATCTATGATATTAATGTAATGAAAAAAGATAAAATATAATAAAAAAATTGATATTTAAACATCAAAATTGTAAAAATTATTTATATGAATTTTTGTTAGAGTATCGTATATGTGTGTAAGTATGTAATTCATTCGTCAAATGTGTGTACAGGAACAAAAGTTTATTTCATGTTTAGGATGTCTACTGTTTTAAATAATAATATTTAAGGTTTAATTATGTTTGTAATTTTTGCAAATTAATATGTTTTATTTTGTTTATTTTTTTAAACATTTTTTTTAGTTTTGGTTCTTTTATTACAAAAATATTTACATAATTAGGCATTTCCATGTGTTAAAAAATACTTATGTGACAATCACATAACGTGACGGAATCATTTTTGTAATAGAAGAACATAAAATGGAAGATTTATTTAACCAAAATTAGAAGGAGATATATTTACGGAAATCATTAAAATAAGTAATTGCCAAACTTATATCTCAATTATTAAACATTCTACCTTTCTCCTTTTTTCTTTTATTACCTAAATATTCTTCATCGCTAAATGTACCTCCCAATTGCAGAGTAGAAAGATTCTTATGTACGATAGATTATTCAAATGACTCTCTCATGTGTAATATTTCTCCTTTAGTGTTCACACATGCTCCTAGTAGCAGCAACTAGCAGCATAATTAAAGATTGTATTAAATGTTAGCGACATTAAATATACTAAAATAAATTCGGAGAGTGTAAGAATAAATTAATTAAGTAGGTAGTCAAAGGTTTTACACCCTCCTTAACAGCTAAATCAAATTCAACTTCGTGAGAATTGAATTGAATTTTATAAAAAAAAAATAGTTCACTCAAATCAATTTGAACCAGCAAACAATTTATTTGAACTAAATTATATTATCTTTTTGTACGACAAATTGTTTTATTAAATTTGAACAAATTGAATTGAATTGTTTGAATTGAACTGATTTTTTTTTTTGTACATTTGAATGCAAAAGAAAGACTGAAAGTAGGGGGAAAAAATACCCTTTACAAAAAAAATAGTTCAATTTTCATGGTTTAATACTCAAAATCATATTAGTTTCATTTTTATTTAAAAAAATAGTTTGACTTAGTTTATATATATATATATATATATATATATATATATTTAATTAAACTCCATTCATGTGAACAATCATAAATCAAATGCATTTTTTTTTAAGATTTTACTACTGTTTGAACTTTCCAAATTGTCATCTAGCTTAAATGTGGTATCACAAAAATTTGTAATATTTTAGCATCTCGTTGATTGATGAATGATTAGATATAAAGTACAAACAAAGAATACACGATGCATGAATATTCTCTTCACCAAGACTATTAATTTCCATTATATTGCTTTTAACGTCGGTGACGATTCTCTCTTTCTAATGATTTTCTTTATCAGATCTCTAGAATAGTAGAATATATATCGTCTTTTCTCTCCATATTTGCTTTATATATATATATATATATATATATATATAATTCAAATTTTTATGATTTAGTTCAGTTTGGTTATTTTTTGAACACCCCTACTTCATAGTTCATACCATTACCATGTTTACCTTGCTAGATTTGGATCTATTTCCTTCTAGAACCTTTTTTTATTTATACCTGATTTGTTTCTCACCCATCAAAAGCCCATACGATAGACAAAAAGAATTAGCCTTCTCTGGGCCTAACCCAATCCATTACCCATTACAGCAACGCACCGTTTTGTTTCTCCTGAATGATCTTTCAAACAATTAGGATTGTCATGTTTAAGATCTTGAAAACCTTCGTCGGATCAAGAAAAAGGAAAAAGAATAAACAGAAATTACATTCATACAATAAAAGTAAATAGATAAATATAGAACTAGAAAGCTCTCGAAAGAAACTTGATTCGAGGCCTTTAGGTTAATTTTGTCGCAAATGCATGTGAATATTTTATTATAAGTACACAAATTAAATATCCTATGATTATATGATTCATGTGATACGATAAATTATAACTATGTACAAGTGTTATGATTGTAAAGATATACATCTGTTTAGGAAAAAAAATGCTTTTATTTTTACTGATGGAAAAAATACTATAAACTTGAATGTTCGTGACAAAAGAAAAAAAAAAGTTTACTAATTAGTTTATTTTCCAATATGATGAATTGCATAAAAATTCATATTAGTTGGGAAATTAAAATACGACTGATCTAGATTCGGGGCATAGATACTTTAGAATTCTAAAATGCTAGCGGGAATGCAAAGGTATCCTAAAGTTAAACCCAAGTCATTCCTTACTTTAGTACTGAGCATAGAATCTCCTCTACTTGTGCATGAAAAAATGGAAGTAAATATGATATAGATTTTCAATATAAATGGTAGCACTAGAACACATTAATATCAGTCAAAGAAGAAACTATGGCTACATCATCGGATTCTGATAATGAAATCATCGGAACACGGGCAAAGCTCTTTGGACATGAAAAACCGATTCATCAAGTTCTTGGAGGAGGAAAAGGTACCATGATAAATTCAATTTCATACTTTGTTAGTCATGTTATATATACCATTTTTTCTTTTTATAAATGACCAGACTCCATGTTCACATCACACGAATTTACATTGGTGCATAATACACACTATTATTACATTGATTTTGAGGACACGGTATAGTTGCGCATTAATTTCAAAAATCTCACTGTGTTATTTTTATGTTAGTTGTTTTTGAAAAATCTTATTATTAAATGTTGTCTTTTTTATTTTTTATTTTTTATTAGTATTACTATAGGAAAAATGTTCAAGTCTCGTGTCTAATAAAAATAAGGCTAAGAAAAAATATGTATGTGGAGAATAATCTTCACTAGTTAATCTTGTAAAAATGAATTAGATGTACAAAATTTGTTTACATACAAGTTTATAAACATTTTTTAGAGTTTCTTATTAAAAAAATATTTTTTATTTTCAATAAAGAAACCCTTCCTAACTTATATTCAAATAAGCGTATACTTACTTTTCTTAATAGTATCATAGCTTCATAAATACCCTAAAATGATCATTCGATAAGTGTAAGTGAATGTCTTGAAAAAAATCAAATTTTATCTATCTTATATCATTAAAAATAGTTAATCAATCTTTACTTTTCAAATTAGTTTTATAAAATTGAATTCCTCAAAACATACACATTTAAAGAATTGCCATTTTGAAGGAACTCATGAAAGGGCTAATAAATGCTATCATTAATTTTTCTATCTTCTTTCTTAATTTGCATATTATGCTAGTGATGTGTCTTTGTCGAAGTTTAGACTTTTGAGGATCCATAAATTGATTCTGATAAATATTTGTGAACTTGCAGTGGCAGATATGTTATTATGGAGGAACAGAAATGTATCAGCTGCACTTTTGGTTGCAATGACGGTGATATGGCTTCTATTTGAGATCTTTGAGTACAATTTCGTGACTCTCCTATGTCACATTTCCATCACCACAATGCTTGTACTATTCATATGGTCCACTGTTGCAGATATATTAAAATGGTACCAAATTTTCTTAATTAGCATCAAACTTAATCGTGGCTATGAATGGACTCATACTGATATTTTCCTCTCAATCTTTAAAATATTGCCAAATATATAACACCTAATTTTCAGAGTGACTCAGCTTATAAGTCAACTTTGATCCAAATTCAAATGCTACTGCTTTTTTATTGTACGTGTAATGTGCATGTCAAATTGAAGGGTGATTTTGTATAATTATATGTGAGATATTTATTGTTATATTATCTTTAGAAATCAAATAATAATAACATTTTGAAGTGTATATTTGCTTTGATGAATGTTATATCTTCAGGAAAGGTCCCCAGATCCCGGACATAATTTTACAGGAATCTTTCTTCCATGATCTTGCTTCCATCCTCCATAAAAGATTTAATCAGTTATTGCCAATGCTTCTCCATATTTCATCTGGAATAGACCTCCCATTCTTTCTTCTGGTATAACCAATTTCATTGCCTAGCTCCTTCGGATTAAAAAACATACGAGAACCTCACATTCACTTCTCAAAACATTTTCAGATCATTGTTTCCCTCTATATTCTGTCAGTGATTGGAAGCTACTTCAACTTTGTGAATCTGCTATATATTGGTAAGTTTTTTTTTTAATTACACTTTTTGTCTAATTATATAATCTAATACACAATTTTAACTCGCATATTTTTTTAAAACCCACAATTATATTTTAATTTACTCATTAAATGTTCATCGACTTACGGTTGAAATTGTAAGATTAACCCTTAACCCATATGATATTTAATCATTAGTCTAAAATTACAAATTTTACAAAATTAGAATACCAAAATCGTTGGTTAAATATTATAAAAGACAAAGTGTAATTTAACTTTCTTTTATTATAATTCATTTTTCATATATTGTATAATTGTCAATCAATAATAAATTATAGTTAGTATAACTTTTAAAATGGTTATTATTAAAGTCAAGAAACTTACTAGACATTATATATATAATTTGTAATTAAATGAATACGTAAAAGATTATATTATTAGTAGATATTATCTACTCTCAAGACGGGCTTTAAGTATGGGACAAACAAAGTTCTTATTTAAACTCCTTAAAAAAATAGTTTACATTAATATTTATATAATTATTTTAATATTAATAATTAAAAGATTACTTTTTTATTTTTAAAAATTCATTTTAAAAGACACATCTCTAAAAAAATATATAAATATAAACATTTTTTTTCAAAGTTTAACTCTAAAATATTTTTTTATTATTAAAAAATTATTATTAATAATTTTAAAATTTTCACTTTAAACTTAACAATGTATTGTGTGGGTCCTGCTTACTTTTATTTCTTGATGCTTTTATTTACTCTTGTTTTTATTTATGATTTTATACCTAAGACATTTTAAGTGTCCTATAAGTTGTGTTGAATATTGTTGTTGATGGTTCATCAAGGTTTCCTGTGCATGCAAACGTTGCCAATTGTGTATGAACGGTATGAGGAAGAAATCAACAATCTGGTCGGTGATATGATAATAGTTCTGAGGAAAAGCTATAGGAGCTTTAACAAGAACTACCTCAACAAAATTCCCAGAGGACCAGTGAAGCAAAAGAAAACCCGATAAACTTTCAATATATGCTGCTGTACATAAACAGATATAACATGATGCTTTATACAAGTTTCTTTCCAAGAAAACAAATACCAACTATTAATTAATAATGTAATGATTTTATATTTTTCATACATGTCCAAAGTCCAATTGTGTTATTCAAAGGTATTTTATATGGCTTGTGTGTGAGGATCGAGTATTGCTTTATTTGTTTCTTTTTTCCTGTCAGTTTTCTTCACTAAACAATTGTTCATGTGATGTGAAGTATGTGGAAAACGTTACTCTCAATATTCTCCACTTTTTTATATGATCCCTCAAAGTTCACTTGTGTTGCATTCGGATTTGTTGAAGTGAATGTGATCACACATTACTCTCAAGAGAATTATTACATAATTGAATCAACACGTGCAATCTTTAATTATATTATTATGGCTCTTTCTTAAAACAGATCTAAACTGACAGCGACAAAAAAATTAGAGAAATTATATAAAATTCAAACTTCGATGAATTTATATGAAAAAAACAAAAAGATAATATTGGTCCCAATTTTTTGTTTGATTGGTTTTTATTGGGAAATAGGATACCCAACTTCGAAATTATTGGTGCCACTGCCCATGTTTCCATTCATAATTATCTAAGGTAAATAGAGGTCCAAACAATAATCCAAGATGGGTTTTCCACAAGACAGGTTGATTTGTCTAAAATACAACTATGTTGATGACAATACAATGTCAATTGTGGTAGTCACATGAAGCATATAATGCGTGTGGTGTGGTGGTAGTGGTACAGTAGTCTATAACCCACTTAATGTGGCAAACACATAGCCATAGATTACAAGAATTCCACTATCATTATGACTACGTACAGTGCGTAAAATAAAAATTTAACACGTTCTAGTGGCCTCAAGTTTCTGCTTTTGGATTTATAACAAAACTAAACTCACAAAGTTCATCTCAAATTCTACCCCTTGTTTATATGTATACAAATGAGAGTAATACAAGTAACTTTTCCTCTAAGCATGAATTTAGGAGTTAGATTCTTGATTTATGTTTATTAAAAATTATTTGTTAAGAAAAATCAATTTCTTAAATATTTTTTAATTAAAAAATTAAGAGAATGTGAGGAATTAATATATATACTAGCACAAGTCTTTTTTGACCTACATTCATGTGTCCAAAAACTATTGTTACTTACTTTTTATGGATATATAAACTAAGTGCGTGTTTGAAATGATATTATTTATTTATGTTAGCCTCAAAAGTTACATTAAAATTGATAATAAATACAAAAGTTACAAATATTTGTTTCTCTTATATTGTAGTTTCAAATACATACTAATAATCGAAGGCTTTTTTGACTTTTGAAATACTATAAAAACACAATACATACGAGTAACAGATAACCTACACTAGAAAGAGATCAAGTTTCGTATCAGAAAGGGCCAAGAATATTGGTTTTTCACCTCTCAAATCAATAGTGGGGGCACCAGTCTGAAATTTTAGTTGAACCTACAACCCACAAGTGGTGCTTGCTGAGACTGAATACTGGAAACATCTAAGTACATAACATAATTAATTAAGCAACCACAAACCACCAACAAACTAATGAGCCGTGGAATTAAAGTTTGCATTTTGCAATTTTCTTAATAACCAACAACCAAAACATTGTTGGTCTTCATCCTCCACTCAATACAATAAGTGGAGCCTCTAATAATGTTCTTTTATATAGTTTTCAAGTCTAAAAAGGGCTGGTGATAGAATCAGCCACTAAGCCAAATAATTGTATTTTTTTTACTGCTACTTAATACTGAACTAGTTACAACCTCCCCAGGTCAAAAACAAGTTTTGCATAGCTTACATTTTGCAATTGAAAAATAAATGCCAATTTTATAGTTGAAAGTGACCACTGAAATCACGAGATTTGTCTTATAAAACCCCAGATTCGGCTGTCACAAAAAAATTTACAAACTACAGGTCATGTTAGCTCCCACAACTAAATTTCATGACAAGAACTGTTTGGCCCACCGGAGTCTAAAGTAACAAAAAATTTTACTGACTACATACATGAGTTATCTTTCACCGGAAACAATCCTCTTCGAATTAAATAGAATCATTATGAATTATAAAATGTTATTTTTGAGTATTTAATACAACTCGATAATCAATAAAATTAAAATAATCTCCTACTAGTTGATCCAAGTATTTTGGTAGTGGTTTAAAGGAGCAATAACTTATGCTTTTTAAGGGTAATGAAAAATTGAAAACGTCTTCAACAGAAAAGAAAAGATATTTTTATTTTTTATTTACAACATTGACTGCATATAGCTTATATAACCAGCATATGAACATGTGCTGTGTTCACTCTTGAAACAAGGTTTGTACTCAAGTGCACACCACTACGCAAATGGTGAGAGAATTGGGAGAGGTGAAAATTGTGGATGCAAATCTTGGTTTCTTTGGTAATGCCTATGCAATCTTGTTGGTGGTTTTGGTTACATTTTGCATAATACCAGCCATCATCTTTTCTTGTGCGGATGGTGTATCTAAAGAGAAAACTTCTGCAGCAGATCAAGAGCCTTATGGTGCTGGATGTGGTGCAGGATGTGGTGCAGGATGTGGTGCTGGATGTGGTGCATGAGATCCTGCATGCTACTATGAATTTCATGCATAGATCTGGAAGAGGGATATACCAGAGTTCAAGTAGAAGTGAAATTTTAGTGGCTATTGTAATATTAGTTTCTTATATATTTCATAGCGCAGTTTGTTGCTAAGGCCTATGATTATCAATATGCTAAGTGCTAACTATTTTACTTCTTGCCACTGTATGCAACTCCTGCAATGGTTTTTTCGAATATAAACACTTTGATCTCAACCTCAAAAATGTAACTTGCCCTTTGTTGATATTTATTTAGAGGTTAGAACTTTGGTTAGACAAATCTATAATTGTTCTATTATTAAGCAAAATGTATGCCACCTAGAAAATGAAAATGCAGGTTAGGCACATGGAAAATTCTGGGTTTTGTGATAGTGTTACACTCAAATGTCAAGATGGCCCAGTTGGTCTAAGGCGTCAGTTTTGTTTTGGTACTGCCTAATCTAACGGACATGGGTTCAAATTCCATTTTGACAGAAAACAAAATTGTTTTTTTTTTCTGAATTAAATAATTTCTATTAATAAATTTGGAATAAAAATTTGCTCAATAGTGTCAAGATGGCCGAGTTGGTCTAAGGCGCCAGTTTCAGGTACTGGTCCGAAAGGGCATGGGTTCGAATCCCATTCTTGACAAAATATTGTTATGATTTTATAAATATTTCTGGGAAAAGAAAAAGAAAAAGAAAAAAAAACAGAGACCAGGATACTAAGTAGTAAGTGCTAAGCAAGAATAATTTATACTTTCTATCCGAAGTTTTATTTTCTGATACAATATGGAGCATCACAGTACCTAAAATTTCTTCTTAGACTTAAACTACCAGATTTCAGAAGCAAAATTCATACAAGTAGTCATGCCTTGCAACATATAAGGGTATAGAAAAAAAAACTCATTTTCTTCTCATGGGGCTTCAAATTGTGCTTTGATGCAACTGCATCCTACTTACATAGCAATTGATGAAATCTGCCTCTTCTGTCTTCAGAAACGCTACTAGGCTTAACCTTACCAGACGTGACATCAGAATCAATGTCAGAAAATGAAGAATAATCTGCACATACACTATTCTTTGATCCATAACAAGCCCATTGCCATGCACACCTAAGTGCTTGATGACAAATTCTGCATGGTATCTTGATGAAACAACAGACACAAGCTAGTGGACAACAAACACAAAGTAAGCAACTGTTACAAAGGAATTCAATCAATTTCTCTTTGGTTTTGTGGCCTTGTTGGTGAGAAGATACCAAACTTGAACAATTGCAAGGTTTGGTTTTGGAATGCCTTGCATCAACATGTTCATGCCTCTGCCTCCTTCTATGGAGAAATGTTGCAACTCTTTCTTTATCTTCAAGGGCTAGTTTGCACCCCATGTCACTGTGTGTGGGACCCATATGCCATCATCAAATATATGCTGAATGCTGTAGCTGAGATGAAACTCTAGAATTCCTTGTGAAGGGTTGATCGAAACATTTGCATGGAAATCTTCCTAGGAAAGTATTTTGAACATGCTGCAGTTATTTTAAAACGTTTTCTTCTGTTCCTTCTTTCTTTGGTTTTCTGCTTTTTGTCATCTAAGAATCTTGGTTGCTAAAGATGCTTCTCTACATTCAAGATTTGCTAATGGCTAAGATAATGCAAGTTATTGGGGAGATTAGAGTCAAAGCCTTGTTTGTCCTATTAATTTTGTACACCTAACACTATAGTTGTTATTGAAAGTTATTAATCCAATGTTTTTCTTTCCTTTCTATAATAAGTTGGGACCATAATTCTTTAGGTTAAAGCTTTGGTGTTACCACTACCAGGTTCACTAGTATTCACACAAACTTATTCGTTTTATTCTCAACATCACTTTATATAACTTGGGACAATGTAGATCACACAAGAAAGGCAGCAGGAAAAGGAGGCCTGAAATCGAAGCAAGGCATCTTCAATTGCCATTGCATCACACACAGGATAACATAACCACAATTTCAGCATCCAATTCAAGTTTCCTTTACCCTACACCTTTAGGCATATTGATTTATTTTTTTTAAAACAATCAATGAGTTTACTTTCTTTCTCTTTTTTAATAATGAAGACTTTGTAATCAAATCTGTAACCATTAGGATGTGGTCAGTTGATCCTTCAAATATACACTTTTTTTTATTTAAGCTCTTTCTTTTTATCAGATTTTAAGCTTGTTTTAACAATTAATAACCGAATAAGTCTGGGGAATGTTCCATATTTCATAAAACATTCAACATAGTTAAACTCTGGCACATTTTATGCAGCATCTCCATAAAGGCTTGATTGATCAACCTATCCTCATTAGAGAAATTAGTGTCCTTGAGCAGTCCGTTTTGTTAACTTCTTATTCATAACTACAAAACACTGCAAAAAAAGATTTTAAACACAACATATTCAATGTATCCAGAAAAGGTCTAGAGCAAATCCCTAAAATAAATAGAAGTGAAATATAAATAAATGGTACTTTAAAAAACGGATCCAATTTTTCTACAGTGAGTAACTCAATTTAAAAAGATAAAATAAGTAATATTAATTATTGATAAAAAAAATTGCTATTAATTAATATTATGTGTACTGTGTACATATATGATAAACAATAAATTACGGATGCGTGAAAAGTGAAAACACTTATTTTATTGGATGATTAAAATTATTTACTTTATTATTATTAATTTTGAAAGCAGCCATAACCGTTAGTTATTATTAACTTAATTAATCCTAAACATCACATAGTCAAACTTCTTTAGTTGTTCATAACCTTTTTTAGATTCACACTCCTCTCTCACACGTCAACTAGATCATTAAATTTTTATTTCAATTTTTTTTTATCTCATGTAATTTGAATGTTGCATAAAAGATTAGTGACATAGAATTTGGACATCTTTCAATATGCATCAAGTCAAGATGGCCGAGTTGGTCTAAGGCGCCAGTTTCAGGTACTGGTCCGAAAGGGCATGGGTTCGAATCCCATTCTTGACAAAATGATGCATAATTTTAACCATTTAATTTCTAAGTAGTAGGAAGAACTTCTAATGCGAATGCTTTTAAACTCGTCCAATAATCAATTCATTTGGCATACACAGATTTAAATTGAACTCATAATATTAAATTTTTTTAATTGTGGATTTAGATTAGCGTTCAATTTTGGTTCCCCCATGAATGATGTGGTGTGTCGATGATGGTTACCCTCCTTGAGTTCAGAACTTTGGAATCTCTAAGCCTAACCCTCAAGAACACACTCTCTAGATTGATTGAACAATGCAAGAACCTTAGAGATCTAAAGAAAATTCACACCCAGATTCTAAAGTCCCCTACTTTACACACTGGTGACCAATATCATCTCATCACCCGTCTCCTATTTTTTTGCTCCTTTTCCAATTATGGTTCTTTCAGCTATGCCACCAATGTCTTTCACATGATCAAGAATCCAGAGCTTCGTGTCTACAACATCATGATCAGAGCTTACGCAAGCATGGAAGAAGGTGATGGCATTGGCACCCATTTTTGCAAGGCTTTGGTGCTGTATAAGCAAATGTTTTGCAAGAACATTGTGCCCAATTGCCTCACTTTCCCCTTCCTTTTAAAGGGTTGCACTAGGTGTCTGGATTGTGCTACTGGCCAAGTTATCCATGCCCAAGTGATAAAGTTTGGATTTTTGAATGATGTTTTTGTGGGAAATTCTTTAATCAGCTTGTACATGGCTTGTGCGTTGTTGAACAATGCCAGCAAGATGTTTGATGAAATGTTGCTTACAGATGTGGTCACTTGGAATTCAATGGTTATTGGGTATTTGAGAAATGGAGGACTTGACATGGCAATGGACTTGTTTAGGAAGATGAATGGGAGGAATATCATAACTTGGAATTCCATTATTACAGGGTTGGCTCAAGGGGGAAGGGCAAAGGAGTCACTGGAGCTTTTCCACGAAATGCAGCTTTTGAGTGATGATATGGTTGTTAAACCGGATAAGATTACAATAGCTAGTGTCCTTTCAGCTTGTGCTCAGCTTGGTGCTATAGACCATGGGAAATGGTTGCATGGTTATCTGAGAAGAAACAGCATAGAGCGTGATGTGGTAATTGAAACAGCACTTGTCAATATGTATGGCAAGTGTGGGGATGTGCAGAAAGCATATGAAATCTTCAAAGAGATGCCTGAGAAGGATGCGTCCGCATGGACGGTAATGATTTCGGTTTTCGCTCTTCATGGATTTGGTCAGAAGGCTTTCAATTGCTTTCTAGAGATGGAAAGAGCTGGAGTAAGGCCAAACCATGTTACATTTGTTGGATTATTGTCGGCTTGTGCTCATTCTGGTTTGGTAGAACAAGGTCGCTGGTTCTTTGATGTAATGAAACGTGTTTACTCAATTGAACCACAAGTTCATCACTATGCTTGCATGGTTGATATCCTTAGTCGAGCAAGGCTGTTTGATGAGTCGGAGATTCTCATAAGAAGCATGCCGATGAAGCCAGATGTTTATGTCTGGGGTGCATTACTTGGAGGTTGTCAGATGCATGGGAATGTAGAATTAGGAGAAAAGGTAGCTCTTCATTTGATAGAATTGGAACCTCATAATCATGCTTTCTATGTGAACTTGTGTGATATATATGCCAAGGCTGGTAGGTTTGATGCTGCCAGAAGAAATAGGAATTTAATGAAAGAAAGAAGAATAGAGAACAAAATCCCTGGCTGTAGCATGATTGAAATCAATGGGGAGGTTCAAGAATTCTCAGTTGGAGGATCATCTGAACTTCCCATGAAAGAACTAGTATTGGTCTTAAATGGATTAAGTAACGAGATGAAGATATGAATGCATTGAATTATCAGCACAAGCATAACTTCAATTCAATGGTCGTATGGCGAAATCTGCTCATTGCCTTGTTACACAGTAGTCCAACAATCAATCGTGGTAGCATGTGTTGCAATTTGTGGCCAACCACCAATTCAATGAGAAACAAGGGTAGTTATGGTCACCACCCCCCCCCCCCCCCCCCCCC